TAAGTCCCTTAATTGGGGTTATAAGACAAGTTACCTTAGTTATAACCCTACTTACTAAGTCCCATGATCCTTCAAGTATTGGGATGAATTAGAATCTAGGGTCTAGGGTTCCTGAAGGGGTCCGCTAGGGGCCTAAGGGGGTGTAGGGTTTGGGCTCCTTTACATGGGTAGTTGTCAAAATTATGGTCTCTTTTGGGGTACCCTAAATAATAGGTGCCGTATTAAAATAAGGACCCAAAAAGGGACCATAATTTTGACAACCACCCACATGAAAGATTCTTGTATTCAGGCTCTTCGCGGGCTGACCTCTGCAGATTCCTTGACGTGTTCCATTCAGGCTTCGTTTGAGCTGGGGTTCCTTGGCGAGTTTAGTTGCTTGGCGCTAAGGGCTGGCAAGGGTCGTGGAGGTCTGACTTTTCTGTGCTTGTAAAGTGGCCTTGCCAAGGCGGTGTAGGGTTTATCAGGGCTTACCTAAACCCTAAACCCTAAACCCTAAACCCTAAACCCTAAACCCTGTAGTACTGGTTGACTCTGTCATTGATCCCCTGCAATGCTCATCTCTCAAGCCTCAACCCTATCTTCTTCAGCACTAAAGCCTCAGTTCCCCACATAATATCAGGGCCCTTATAATAAGAATAGGGTTTTGGGGTCCTTTATCGTAGAAGTATAATAAGGAGCCCCCAAAATATTATAGGTACTTATTATGAGGCCCCCTACGGCCCTACAGGAAAGTAAACTTATCGACCCCGAACTCCGAACCCCCAAACCCGAGAGCCAAAACATCCGAGTCCCACGCCATGCAGAACCGCGGCTCTGCCACCCCATCGATGCCATCCACGCCGAAGCTGCGAGCCGCAGCCCTGCGGAGCATTGTCTAATATAAGGGCCTTATAATAATTAGAATAGGGTTTGGGGGGGGTCCCTTCATGTAATTATAGTATAATATATAAAGGGCCTTAATAACTAGAATAGGGTTTGCGGGGGGGGGGGGGGNNATAGTATAATAGACCCCGAAGCCCTAACTATTCTATTTAATGAGGCCCCTACATTATGTTTTTTGGACTGTTCGGGGATACTACTGTTGTCTTAGCACCAGAAGTGGAGCGGTTTGGGATTTAGGGCCTAGGGTGCAAGATTTCCGGGGGACTTACAACATGTTGGGGTCGAATTGAGGCAACAGCAGCAGCCCAGCCCCAAACCCTCAAGTCCAAACCCTAAGCCCTACATCAAAGCCTAAACCCAAATCCCAAAGTTTCTAAAATCAAACCCTGAACCCTACATAAAACCCAAAAGCCTCCATAAAAAAACCTAGTCCCGAAGAAGCTTCAACATCCCAAACCACTGCGAGAGGCGCCTGAGCTTGTCCTTGACAGTGTCCAGCGGCAGATCCTTCAGCGCCTTCCGACGAGAAGAGCCCGATGGAAGCTTCTGGGATAGGGTTCAGGGTTCAGGGTTAGCTTTAGGGTTTAGGGTATAGGACTTTGGGGTTTAGGGTTTAGGACTTTAGGGTTTTAGGGTTTAGGGTTTAGGGTTTAGGGTTGAGGCTTTAGGGTTTTAGGCTTTAGGACTGTAGGGTTTAGGGTTTAGGACTTTAGGGTTTAGGACTTTAGGGTTTTGGGTTTAGGGTTTAAGACTTTGGGGTTTAGGGTTTAGGACTTTAGAGTTTGGGGGTTCAGGGTTCAGGGCTAGCTTCTTTAAAAAATGCAATGGCTAGGGTTTAGGGTTTAGGACTTAGGACTTTAGGGTTTAGGGTTTAGGGTTTAGGACTGTAGGGCTAAGGGTTTAGGACTTTAGGGTTTAGGGTTTAGCGTTTTAGGGTTCAAGGTTTAGGGTTTAGGACTTTAGGGTTTAGGATTTTGGGGTTTAGGGTTTAGGAGTTTAGGGTGTAGGGGACAGTGTAGGAACTTGATTAAGAAATCGTTGGTCTTGTTTGAGGATCATGAATCCTGGGATTTGGGGCTATAGGGCCAGGGTTTCTTGATCAGGTTCCTACATTAAGGCTTCACCAGAGATCCAACGATGTATTCACCTGTCTATCTATCCGTGCAAGTACTCAGTCATTTCCTTGAATTTCTTACTACAAAATTGCACTTTACGGTCTTTCTTCGTAATCATATAGTCTTGCAGTTGTCTTTGTACTTTTATCTCTCAGGCATCCTCGAAATTAGGATCAGGGTGACTCGGGTCTACATTGGCAGAACTAGGCTCTGAAGCTCCGTTGCACCTTAATGGCCCCGGTGGGTATTTGGGGCAGCAGCTAAGGCTGGGCAAATACCCGACGTCCTTCAGCCGTTACGACGCCTGTTCCTGCTACGCTCTGGCAGGGATTTAAATTATGAATAACCTTACTCAAAGGATCATGGGCCTTAGTAAGTAAGGTTGTAAGTCCCTTAATTGGGGTTACAAGTATAGTTACCTTAGTTATGACCCTACTTACTTAAGTCCCATGATCCTTTAAGTCATTCCCTAAATTTTAAACCCTAAAACCCTAAACCCTAAACCCTAAACCCTAAACCCTAAACCCTAAACCCTAAACCCCACTTACTAAGTCCCATGATCCTTTCAGTACTTACATTCAACAAGGCTCGCCTTGAGGGTCCTATGACCCGAAACATCCCTAAACTCGATACTCCCTGAAGAGTGCGAAAGGAGGCCCGAAGCTGAGGGCTCAGGACTTTGGGTTTGGGGTTTGGGGCCAAGGGTTTTGGGTTCGGGTTTGGGATTCCCAAAACCTGAACCCCGCAACGAAGCAAACCCCAAAGCCACGAACCCCCAAACCTCAGACGCTTGAATCAGACTGAACCCGCAAACCGAGACGCGAAACCCTGAACACCCAAGCCCAAAAGCCCAACTTCTAAAAGCTGAACCCCTAAACCAGAAGCTCGTGACAAAGCTGAATGGAAGCCCTGGCGCCTCGAGGACTGCCTGCGCTTGCTCCACGGTGCGCCGGCGTACTGTGTAGAGGACATGAACGTCTGAGCGGCGGGCTGCAGGAAGTATAGGGCTTGCTTTCGGGTACAGGGGTATGGGAGTCCCGAAACCGTAAACCCTAAACTAAACCCACCCTAAACCCTAAACTAAACCCTAAACCCTAAACCCTGTCCGGATCTATAGGTTGGATGTTTGGGAATTTGCTTCCTTGAGCAGAAACGACAGAAAGTCCCCGAGCCTGCCGACACCCCTTAGCTGCAGTGCAAGGGGCATTGCTCCTCAGATGGCATCGGTTGCAGACGTCGCCCCAATCCATCAGATTCCTCGACAGGTTTAGGGTTTAGGGTTTAGGCTTGAGGGTTTTGGGGTGTTAGGGACCTTAAGAATCAGAATAGGGTTTAGGGGTGCATTACCCTATATATAATTATGATAAGGAGCCCCCCCAAAAAAAGGTCACTTCTGGGAGGATTCAACGCCCTGGAAGGCTCGGGTCTGCAGGATTCCGGAAGCGGCGGCTTGCTTCGCCCGAGCAGCTCCGGTGTGGTGCAGAAGACATTGCCGTGATAGCGACCAGTGAGACGAGCATGAACCATGACGCTTGAGCGCTTCTTAACATGAACCCCGGTGCGGTTTAGGGTTAGGGTTTAGGGGTTTAGGGTTTAGGGTCTTGGGTGTCATTTCCTCTAAACCCTACACCCAGAACCCTAAACCCTAAACCCTACACCCTGAACCCTGAACCCTAAACCCTAAACCCCACACCCTGAAACCAGAACCCCAAACCCTAAACCCCAAAACCCTACACCCTGAACCCTAAACCCTAAACCCCAAAACCCTACACCCTGAACCCAGAACCCTAAACTCTAAACCCTACACCCTGAACCCAGATCCCTAAACCCTAAACCCTAAAAGCCCTACACCCTGAACCCAGAAAACAGAAGTCCTCCTCGCTGGAGTCGCGGAGAAGCTCCTTGATCGTCACGTCCTTG